CGAGTTAAGACACGAGTTAGCCAAATTAATACTTGACTTTCGTTGGGCCCCCACCTTCCAATTGGCAACTATTATTGGAATACACATTCCAAATGAGTACTCAAAGTTACAACATGTTTAAATATATTTATTTTTATTCTCAGCCTCAAAGATTAGTAGAAAAGTATGTGACAGCGGAAGGAGTCAAGAGCCAAAAACCCGCCAAATTCAAAAATGTTAAAAAATGTCCCAAGGCTGAAGTTCTGTACTCCATAACTCAACTTATTTTAATGGGATTTTAAAGTGGCATACCTCTAAATGTTTCTTGCGCAATTCTCTAAATATCTGCATTCAAATTTAAAAAAATTTATTTTTTTTTAATTTTTTTGTAATTTTTCTGATTTATAATGTTGTAGAAATACAAAAAAGTTAAAAAATGTCCCAAGGCTGAAGTTTTATACTCCATAACTCAACTTATTTTAATGGAATTTTAAAGCAGTCTGTCTTATGTTTTTAATTTTATTATTTCTTGACAATGTTTAGCAATTTGATTTATAAAGGTCTTAATAAATATTGGAAAGTAACAATAAACATCGCAGCCCCATTCGAACGCATCATTAAGTAATTCAATAAGGCACAGGCCAGCAATCATTTTCCCCTCCCAGCTGAAAATCAAATTCAACTTCAACCACCAGCAATAAGAGAGCCGAAAAAACGCCAGCCAGACGAGTTCCAAAACATCTTGTCGTCGTTCTACAAACTCTACTTTCCTGTTCGGACCCAAGACATTTACAAGCATCAAATTTCAGACAAAAGGAGCTCGAAGACCCTAAGAAAGTGCGGCACGCGCCAAGTGTTTCAACCCCGCAGAGGCTTCCACATGCCACCAGTTGTTGCCCATCACCAGTTGCTTGCTAGGCTACCCTGCGTTCCTGTCCCTTTGACAGCCAATTAGCGATCATCAGGCAAGATTATCAACTGGAAAATTATAGGGTCTCAAATGGCCCGCGGCAAAGGAAACGCCCCTCCGAACTCTCTCTCTCTCACACTCGCTAACTCCATATGGTTGCGGCATGAAAGGCGATCGTGGTGTGTGGTAAGTATGTTTAAGCGACTTAATGAACCCTGATGTTTGTCACGATAATTTCGTGTTTTCCACTAGGCTCGCAGCGAATGAAGAAGGGTCTACGCAGTGCCGCCTGCCAAAGACGAAAGACCAAAGAGCCGCATAATGGTCTTCGACACGCATCGAATTACAATAGCCCATGGATTGGCCCAAGAAGAATCATTGAAGTGCAAAGAGCTGGGAACCTGCTTTCCCTGCCTGCCAGCCTGTTCCAATTTCACGCCGTATTAAAATAAACAGGAAACAGCTGTCGTTCTCAATTATGGCAATTTGCGTGTGTCGAAGAAGGGATGCAATGTGCTTCTGCCAAGAGTCGGAAGTGAGTTCTTAAGGTTTCTTAGCCGCCTGCTACCCACTTCTGCTGGCCTGTTCAAAATCAATTAGCAAAACAAACAAAAAACGATCCATCAAATCCAGCCTTTTGTTGTGCTGACTTCCAGGAACTCAAACATTCAAACAACGCCTGCGGCTTGAAGTGCAATCAAGTCGAACCTCGCGATCAGGGCAACAGCATCCCAGCCAGCTCAGATTTCGGGCCAGGAATATATTCAGTTCTCTGCTCAGGTACCTGGTCTACCTGGAAAGACTCGTTCTGGCCGTTCTGTTCTCCCATTCGAATGATACAGATTTAAGCCTTTGGCTGTTGTGTCTGCAGGGGATTTGCGGTGATCATGCCCCGCGGGCTCAACCGCAAATGGATCGTGGGAAAAGGTCGGGCAAAAAAGAGAGCATCTTGGGAACCACGTGCCACGAACCATTGTTTGTCTAATCCCAGCGATCATAAGTCATAATTAGAAAACTGCCGAGGCATGCATAAAGTGTAGCAGACGAACAGGTGAACAGAATCCGCAGTTGGCTGAATCTACAAGTAGAAAGGTAGCCAGACAGCCACGTCAATTTAGGAATAACCTCATCAGCAGCATCCCATTATTATCGTGCCCTGATTGCCACTGATGCGCATCGATGCATAATTTTCGAACAGGTTCACAGCAACCTCAAGAAGCCTTCAAGAAGGAGATGAAGAAAGTGCCCGCAGGCAGGGAGCATCGCTCGATGATGGGAAAAATCGCTGGAGCGCACTCGTGTGTATCCAGCTAACAGGTTACCAAGCGTTTTAGGTCAACGATCGCAGCAGGAGATCCACGCCCACCAAAGATGAGCGACCTCATTTTGGTGGGATTCTCCCACGGATGTCTGCGTCTCTGGCTGAAAATCAAGGAACCGTAACCAAACTCCCAAAGACGAATGGGCTAGCATGAATTGTAGACTAAGAATGTGCAGCATCATTCCCAAAAGATACCTGCGACCTTTTCGGGGCTCACCTTTGACCTGCCGTCTGCTTGCGGCATTTGTTGCTTGCCTGTTCGCATGCTACAATTTAAATATTTATATCTGCACTTTGGGCAATGATTGGATTTTTCATAACTAGAACACTTACCTAGAATGTAAGCCACTTGAGATTAACTTCATTTACCCTTATCCCCGGACTCTGCGAACCTGTTAAAATGCTACACTTTCGTGACCTTTGGCATTTCTACATTTCTAAGCAAGCAAAGGTCAGGCTGGGAGGTGTGCAGCATCAGATGTGGAAATATTTCCGCTCCCTTGGATTAGGAAGATTCTGAAAACCAATGAAGCGAAACCATTTTCCCGAAATAAAGCAGGTGAACATAACTCTTAAATAGTCTCTGGAAAATTCTTGTTCCAGCACAGCGATTTCCATGCAGTCTTAAATTAATATATACATATTTTTATGAAATTGTGTATATAGTAATTTGTATACATATATGTTTTATTGGCAAACCAATGAATCGTGACCAAGCCCGAGAATCGAACAGGCCTACATAACTGCCATGCAGAAATCACACCGAAAACCACCTGCATAAGAACCAGATTTCTACCGTAACACATAGAAATAGGTGGAATATACCTGGAAAACTGTCCCTTTTACCTTGGCTGTTAGGTGTTAGTTTTCCAAAATCGTGTTCTGTTTCTTGCTCTCCTGTTATATTGCTACAGTTTTGAGCATCCCAACCCTTTTCTGGGAATGCATTTTGAGATAGATGCATATATGTATCACACAGCATCCAAAAAGCATTCTGCATTTATATATTGATTCCAGCAGATACTGGTGGCATTTTCTCGGAAATCACTGATGTGCAACGTCCTGTGGCAAAGTACCAGGCTTTCAAAGTAAGTAGTATACACAAATGTTAAAATCAATAGCCAAAATATACAAAAACTGGTTCTTAGGAAAAATCACATACAGCCTCCAAGGAATCAGTCAGGCATAAAGAACTGGCTCAGATTACCAGGTAAGCAAAGACATAGAAAAGGATCCAACGAATGAATTCGGTTTTAAATCCACAAAATAATACATGGAATGCCATAGAAAGAGTTAGAAGTCACACAAACTGTAGCATTCGAACAGGCTTACAAATGTTGTAGAAGGCAGCCAGAAGAAGTGTGTGGGTGCACCGATAATCCCTAAGAAATTCCATTGAAAATCATTGGGCTGTGACCAAACGGATTAGGCGACCAGGCCAGCATCAATAACCAATAACAGATTTCAGATTTGGGTGGAAAATCTATACGGAATAGTATTTGAAGGGTCGAAGGGCAGTTCTAGGAAAAAATCACTGGATCGTGACCGAACAGATCAATGGAACAGGTTGGCAGAAAATCAAGAGGGCAAATGCCCAATTCTACAAAAGAGCAATGGGAAGGGGAGATAATCTCCCCCAATCCCATTCAGAAGATCACTGAAGTGTGGCCAGGCCGAGCAGGCGGACAAAATTGATAGTAGGTGTAGATCGTGCCACGGAAAACTGCATCCAGCATCCGAAACGAAAACGCAGCGCACCCAAATCTCTCATGCATTTGTTAAATATAACCCAGAGCCCTCGGCTGTGGGAAAAACTGATGGCGTTGCACTTCGCTGCGCTGGATGCATCGGATGCATTGGATGCATTGGATACAGGCTGCGCTGGCTGGTTGCCTGTTCGAAGGTCACACTCGGATGCACATCGAAACTAGAGGATGGCATGTGTGGGGTAATCAGTGTGGGAAAATGGACGGAGACGGTTCATAGCATCGCGTAATTTGACAAAATCCAGACCATGCCATGTGTAGCACTTGAGCAGGCGGACAGATTCACGGGGAAGCCCCTGCTCAAGTACACTCCCTGCGGTCAGTATGCCAACACACGCATCCACGATCCTCCCACGCAATCCCAAAAACACATGTGAAACTGTCGCATTTCACTAGGTCCACAGCAAATGAAGTATGTGGCTCTTTTTCGGAGATTTTGTATCTTACGACAGCCAGCCCGAATTTATGCGAACCTATTCGTAGTTACACAATCAAAACAAACAAATGTACATTTGTCATGCGCCGTGGGGGTCTCTGCATAAATTTGTAGGTGCTCTTTGGGGAAAAACTATAGCAATTCAACAGGGAAACATAAGGAAATAAGAGAAAGTCTTAGGCCCGAAAATCTATTCGCAGGTAGCTGGAAAATCAAAAGGCGCTGCGCACTTTCTGCACGCACTGTGCGCCTGGTGAATTTCCATTAGCCCAACAAACAGCTAAATTGTGTTAAGCACTTCCCATTTATTTAAACAAATTTCAAGGGCTAGGGGGAGGGCCTGCGTGGGCGTGTCTTCGCATTCGCTTCTAACAACAATAGCCCAAAAATCGTGGCGGAACATTTTCCCAGACGATGCAACGAGGCGTTGAAAATCTCCGAGTTCTGTTGGCCAACTTCTGTTCGCCTGGTGGCATGTTACACTTGGCTACACTTGCAGCCATCGAATGGGAAGCTGCATAATCTTGGCGTGCCGCAACCCCGGGGTCAATCAGCCACTTGATTCGCTTCGTCGCCTCGGCACCAAAAATCAAAATAATGCTGGTATAGACAAAATGCGCTGAGTGGAACGCGATCGCTAATCGCTGCTGGGATTCGTGGGCGCCTGCTACACTCGTAGACCTTGGCTCCAAAAGTTGCGCAATGCAAGGCCCCCAGCGTCTTGGATCTCCACATTTCTTTGCTGGCGCTCGTCAGCTGCTTTCTCATTCGCGCTGGTCACCTATTCGTTTCCAAGACCTTTGACTTTCGATTTTTCTCGGCCGCCCTGCCCCAAGACCTTGGGGATCCGTAGTCTTCGAAAGAATTGTCACTGCGCCAAGAGATGTAAATCATAAATTTTGGGAAAATTACAAATTTTTTGACGTCCACTAACAGGGCCACAGAAACGAAAAGAGCGGCAAAAGATTTCTGGTATCGCTGCATTTTTATGTGTAGCTCGTCTACAAAACACTCGTGTGTGTTCATCTCGCTCGCTCTAGCTGAAAGTGGAAAGGGCAAAGGGCTTGCCTACTCGCTCCCACAGCTGGTCTTCTCTGGTTTTCACTTTCCACTTGAGATTTGGGCGTGGTTTTTATGGGCTGGGCTATTTCCCAGAATAATACATTGCTTGATCTCACTGGTTTTCTTTTTTCAGAATTTCCAGATTTCCAAAAGGTATATTTACAATAATTCGTAATACCCGACAGCCTTGAAACCATCCTTAATATAATCCTCCAGCTCACTTTTCCAAGAACTTTCCAAAGGTGTTAGCTGTAGCTCAGCTGCTTCGTTATTGACTTGGCCAATCCCCACTGAAATGAATAATGTTCAAATATCCAGAGAGCATTGGGCCTCCAGAAGGACGTCGGCGGAGGCCAGCAGCTTGCGTTGCTCCACATCCGTGAGGGGCAGCTCGAAGACGTGGCTGATGCCACCGGCGGTGACCAGGCTGGGCAGCGACAGCACCACGTTGTCCTTGATGCCGTGCATTCCCTGCATATCGGTGCCCACGGACGCGATCTTGCCCTTGCCGCCGCACATCGCATGCACGATATCCGTGCAGGTGAGGGCAACGGCCCAGTTGGTGTAGCCCTTGGTTTTGCCCACCGCGAGTCCGCCGGTGACGACCTGCTCGTTGATCTCCGCCCAGTTCTCGGGATCATCGCCGCAGGCCAGGTTCTTGACCACATCATTCAGCCGGATGCCGGCAACGGAGACGTTGGACCACACTGGAACCGCACTGGCGCCGTGCTCCCCGATCACATAGCCGTGCACCTGAGACGGAGGCAATCGAAGGCGGTTTGCAATCAGGTTGCGGAACCTCACCGAGTCCAGGTGGCAGCCAGTGGTGAAGCAGCGATGCTTGGGCAGCTTGGCAATCCGCTGGACAGCGTAGGTCATAACATCGGCGGGATTCGAGATGACAATGAAGGTGGCCTTGGGACTGAGCTCCACCAGCTTGGGCACCGCCTTCTTGAGGATCTCGACGGTCTTTTTCATCGCAGTCAGGCGGGAACGATCCTTGCCGGAGGGCCGTGCCCCCGCCGTAATGATCACCACATCGGAATTCTTGGAGTTGGCACTATCGCCGCAGGGCACCACCCTAGCATCGCTCAGAAAGGCGGAGGCCTGCTGAAAGTCCAGTGCCTCCGCTTTGGCCAGCTCGTAGTTAATGTCCAGTATGACCAGGTGCTTGGTGAGATTACGGAGCAGCAGCATGCAGCTGATCGCCGTGCCCACCTGACCGGCGCCAACTACACTGATCTTCGGAATCCGCGAGCGCTTAAACTCCTTCATGGGCTTCATCAACTTGGCGAAGGAGGACTTGGTCGGCTTGCTGGACAGGCTCTTAGTACTGCACATTTTGGCCTGGATATGAGCCATGTTCAGGCGTATCAGCTGACTTAATGCCATTTGTTAATTTTTAATTTTGAGACCGAAAAGGGAATACTAAAACTAAGCCTACAGATATTCTTAGTAGCGCCTTTTCGGGATGCAACCAAATGAATTTTTGTCTGCAGCACTATGTTGCTTACTACCTTCCTTATAACTATAATATATAATAATATATTATTATATTATTTAATATTTCACATACTCTGTTCAACTAATTTGAATTTAATTGCATACTTTTAGGCTAGACAGAATTTCCATTTTTGAATACAGGTCGATAGGAAATTTTGTTACGAATTCAACGGGGTATAGCATTCTAGGTTTTGACAACTATGTTTTTTGCTATCGAAAAAATAGTGATTATTTTTTACCAAAAAAACCTCAAAAAATAAACATGCCAAAAATCGGATATTTTCAAACGGGGTTTTCTCCATAACTTGGCCAAAATAGGAGGCACCGCTAAAATGAAGACTGTTTTTTGCTGCCAATAAACATAGCTAACTATTCCTATCACTAATTTTATAATTTTCGGAAAAACAAATTTTAACAAATTTTTGCATTTTTTATAAGGGGTACCATCATCAAAATTTGCGAAAAATGGCAAAAAATTAGAATTTCCATTTTTGAATACAGGTCGATAGGAAATTTTGTTACGAATTTAACGGTGTATGGCATTCTAGGTTTTGACAACCATGTTTTTTGCTATCGAACAAATAGTGATTATTTTTTAGCAAAAAAAACCTCAAAAAATAAACATGCCAAAAATCGGATATTTTCAAACGGGGTTTTCTCCATAACTTGGCCAAAATAGGAGGCACCGCTAAAATGAAGACTGTTTTTTGCTGCTAATAAACATAGCTAACTATTCCTATCACTAATTTTATAATTTTCGGAAAAACAAATTTTAACAAATTTTTGCATTTTTTATAAGGGGTACCATCATCAAAATTTGCGAAAAATGGCAAAAAATTAGAATTTCCATTTTTGAATACAGGTCGATAGGAAATTTTGTTACGAATTCAACGGAGTATGGCATTCTAGGTTTTGACAACTATGTTTTTTGCTATCGAACAAATAGTGATTATTTTTTTCCAAAAAAACCTCAAAAAATAAACATGCCAAAAATCGGATATTTTCAAACGGGGTTTTCTCCATAACTTGGCCAAAATAGGAGGCACCGCTAAAATGAAGACTGTTTTTTGCTGCCAATAAACATAGCTAACTATTCCTATCACTAATTTTATAATTTTCGGAAAAACAAATTTTAACAAATTTTTGCATTTTTTATAAGGGGTACCATCATCAAAATTTGCGAAAAATGGCAAAAAATTAGAATTCCCATTTTTGAATACAGGTCGATAGGAAATTTTGTTACGAATTCAACGGGGTAGGGCATTCTAGGTTTTGACAACTATGTTTTTTGCTATCGAAAAAATAGTGATTATTTTTTACCAAAAAACCTAAAAAAATAAACATGCCAAAAATCGGATATTTTCAAACGGGGTTTTCTCCATAACTTGGCCAAAATAGGAGGCACCGCTAAAATGAAGACTGTTTTTTGCTGCTAATAAACATAGCTAACTATTCCTATCACTAATTTTATAATTTTCGGAAAAACAAATTTTAACAAATTTTTGCATTTTTTATAAGGGCATCATCAAAATTTGCGAAAAATGGCAAAAAATTAGAATTCCCATTTTTGAATACAGGTCGATAGGAAATTTTGTTACGAATTCAACGGGGTAGGGCATTCTAGGTTTTGACAACTATGTTTTTTGCTATCGAAAAAATAGTGATTATTTTTTACCAAAAAACCTAAAAAAATAAACATGCCAAAAATCGGATATTTTCAAACGGGGTTTTCTCCATAACTTGGCCAAAATAGGAGGCACCGCTAAAATGAAGACTGTTTTTTGCTGCCAATAAACATAGCTAACTATTCCTATCACTAATTTTATAATTTTCGGAAAAACAAATTTTAACAAATTTTTGCATTTTTTATAAGGGGTACCATCATCAAAATTTGCGAAAAATGGCAAAAAATTAGAATTTCCATTTTTGAATACAGGTCGATAGGAAATTTTGTTACGAATTCAACGGGGTATGGCATTCTAGGTTTTGACAACTATGTTTTTTGCTATCGAAAAAATAGTGATTATTTTTTAGCAAAAAAACCTCAAAAAATAAACATGCCAAAAATCGGATATTTTCAAACGGGGTTTTCTCCATAACTTGGCCAAAATAGGAGGCACCGCTAAAATGAAGACTGTTTTTTGCTGCTAATAAACATAGCTAACTATTCCTATCACTAATTTTATAATTTTCGGAAAAACAAATTTTAACAAATTTTTGCATTTTGTATAAGGGGTACCATCATCAACATTTGCTCAAAATGCTCAATTTTCCTGGTATATTTATAACACTAATTTTGTGGAACACACCCCCACAAGTTTGGGCATATTTTGGAATCCCAGCTAAGGTCTCACTACTGGCCGCCCATTGATTTTTCACCGCGACTCGATCCAAATCGGTTTATTTCTCGTGGAGATGGTTGAATCTCTCATTTTCTGGAACCACGTGTTGTCCTATGCACGCTCTACTGCCCATTTTCCAGGGTAGCAGAGTGCTATTTTGAAGGACACATAGCAAACCCATCGACAATCTTACCAAATGCTTGACCTAATTCCTGGTCTTTGCGTTTCATTTAAATTGTCAAACAATATAGATATATATAATTAATAAAGTAATTCCGGGTTGTCCTATGCACGCCCATTTGCCCATTTTCCAGGGTAATTGGGTGCTATTTTTCAAGGACATATAGAAATCTTGTGAACAATCTTACCGAAACGTTTTGCTAACTTCCTGGCACTGCTTTTCATTTTAATTGTTGCACAAATACCAATTCTATTAACCAGCATGCGTTGAATAATATTAAACTGTGGACGAATTCCCAAATAAGCCACAGTTATGCAAGAAACGCTAGAAAAAATAGGTAGTATTTAATAACGTGCTGACTAACATCTGCGGATAAGAGCTTTGCGTTTTGAGGTACTAACCACAATATCATAATCTGAAAATCTATGCTAAAGGTTATAAAACGTGCTTGACCCCTTAAGAACCACAAGCCTATGAAATCCGTGTGCATGTACCCATAATACGTATATCATATCTACATATGTATGATGATCTCCAATTTTCGCAGGAAATTCCCCATTTAATATAGAGGTATACAGATATGGAGAGATAATATAGAGATATATAACATTGTATATAGAGGAAACCATAAGCTATACAACTTGCAATAGATTCAATATAAGATCATACACACATCCCCATTTTATTTCCAAACTCATTTGATTGTGAGTTAAATATTGCAAGATAAGATCACCCAAGCAGTTGGTTTATGGAAAATGTATTTCATTTGAAATGGTATTAAGACTAGTCCCACATTCCGCCTACTTAAGTGCCTCGGACGCCTCGATCAGCCGCTGGAGATCATCGTTGTTGCGCAGTGCGTTCTGCACGGCCCTGAGCACCTGGTTGCCCATGGCCTGGGTCTGCTCCGGACTGAGGGCCAGGGTGCTCAGGCGCTTGGCCAGTTCGGCCAGCTTGGGCTGCCGTTCCAGAAAGATTTCCACAACTTGGGGCGAGATATTAGCCATTTTGGCCAACTGCTGGATGTGCGGAGGCAGGGTTGAGTATTTGCCCTCCGCATCCTCTTGCATGATCAGCTTGGGCGTGTTGAGATGTGGCTTGGTCACAGGAGCAGGGGTGGTCGTCGTCGTGCTGGTGGTGGTGGGCACCTGGATCGGCTTCGTGGTGGCCAACGACACGGGGCGCAGTGGAATGGGATAGTGATACGGCAGAGGTTGCCTTACCAGGATAGGACGCAGGGGTTTCATGCCAGCTGGAGGGGGTGGCACGAAAACCGGCTGGAAAGAGCCAACTGGCGGCGCGATGAACGGAGCAGGAGTGGTGGTCGTGATGACCTGACCAGACCACAGGTTGTACTGCTTCATAAAGTCGCCGAAACGCTGCATTAAACTCAATTCGGGACTGGGATCTGCTGTGGTGGTGGATCTCTCCTGGGGCATCTCATCGTAGCTGGCATTGCCCATGGTGTTGTCATCATCGTCGTCGTCATCCTCAGCCTTCTCTTGTTCCTCTGCCACATTCTCCTCCGCCTCCTCGAAGTGCAGCGCATCCAGATACTGTTTCATCAGGGCCAAACCCTCTTCAGTTCCAGTTAGCGTGCGTATGTAATCTATGGTCTCGCTGGCACCATCCGTGCCAATCATCTCGCCCAGCTCCTCGAGACTGGGCAGCTCCTTTAGGCCCAGCTTGTTGTGAGCAAGGTCCAGGAGATCAGCAGGATAGCCAGAGGTCGGAGCAGCCGTCGTGGTCGTCGTAGTTGTTGCGGTGGGTTTAATCAGTTTGTAGACCGGCAGGTTGTAGTACAAGGCGTTCTGCAGTTTGGAGTCCATTCTAGGTGGGAATTTTCTATTGATGTCTACTATAATAGCACTGTCTTGTCCGTAAAAGCGAGGCAGCATCGACACTCTAGCCTGGATGCACTGCACCATGGCCAAGGACCAGAGAAAACGCATTACCACACCAATCATTCCGTTCACTTCAAATGTTTAAGGACAACTAACCCGTGATAGTCGAAAAGCGTTTGAGGTAGACTTTGAACTCTAGAGCAAATCTCGTTTTAGGGAACCCACCATTTGTGTTTCATCTGAATTCATGGGAACGAGCTGGAAGCCTACCTGCTGGGCCATAGAAAATCACGCATTTCCCCTGAATTTCCCACCTACGCGACGAGCAGGAATGCGATTACCCTTCGCTACCTGGATTTTGTTAACAAAAGAAATGGTTTTTCAAGAGGGATTCGAGTTTCTGGGGCTGATGAATACGGGAAAATCAAAGGAAACTGAAAGAGACCTAGATAAACAGTCTCCAGATGAGAAATACAAATACCTTGCTATATTTCAACAAACTAAAACATGTTTTATTATCGTAATTAAACCTTATATTGGAACACTCGATGGCAACGCGTGTGGTACAAATTGTGGCCATCAAATCCAGTCACAGATCTCTTAAAAACTAGGAGGAATTCTAAATTCGCAAGCTCTGCCCGAAGGATGCGTTTGTGGGATAGGCTGTATTTACACGGGGTTTACGTACATGAATTTTGCAGCGGAAAACAAATTGCAAACAACTGAGAGAGACGCCATGTAAATTGGGATATGGGTACTGGAAATTTTACACGCCTCAGGGCAGCCGCATGGCTATCAACACTTCGACACGCCCACCAAGGCCGGGCGTATGCAACGCTCGTGCAGTTTGTAGCCCAGCTTGGTCACCTCCACCACGGTGTTGGCCTCGACGGTCTTGTCCTCCTTCTGGAACAGCGCCTCGTGCTGATTGGGGTCGAACTTCTGGTTGATGGGATCCAGAGGCTCCAGTCCGTGTCGCTTGAACACCTGCAGCAGCGAGGCGCGCGTCATGCTGAGGCCCTCGTACAGGTTCTTCAAATCAGCGTTGCCGCTCAGCTGCAATAAATAAGATCTTTAGTGAGGGCCTTAAAATAAAGTCGTCAAAATGTAACGCCATAAATTTCATACATTTTCTACAAAAATCGGCCATAAGGTTAAGATAGCTAACAAACAGGACAGATATCTTTGAATAGAAGAAATCCCTAAAGTTATACTAATATGAAGCTATTCTCAATTCAAAACTGAAAAGGAAACCTCGGGAAAATACACCTCAAAATATGATGAAGACCTCTAAGTATTGGCAACTAATAATTACGAAAGTCTTATATCGACCTGTTGAACTTCATTTCGAAACCGAAACCTTCAGTAGTTTGTACCTTGTCCTTGGGCACCGCCTGTGTGGCATGTCCCAGGGTGTCCGCCACTTCGAGCAGGTCCTTGCAGAAGCTCTGGATGCCGAAGATCTTGGCGTCGCTGATCTGTTTGTTAAGTCGGTTCCTCATGTTTTCGCTGTCGGCGAGGGAACGCTTGTATTTGTCCAGGAGCTCGGCGTTCTGCTCCTTGGCGGCGGCCAGCTCCTTGGTGAGTTTCTCCACTTCTGGCGAGGATTCGGTGGCCTTCTGCTCCGCCGTCGCCGTTTCCTCCGGCTGTTTCTCTGTGCTGAACAAACGGGGGGCACTGGTTGTGCGTAAATAGAAGGGGAGAAAGAGCGGGCAATGTTAGAATTACGTGCAATTGCCGACAAACGTGCGCCTCATTACGTCACAGAAAAGAGGAAGCAATGCGGCCGGATTTACCTCATATTTTGGGAAGTGATTGATGACTGCAGGTGAACGAGTCGCCGGCCAAACATCTGCAGAGGTAATCCTGCCTTTGCTGCCATAATGCCTAGCTTTTTAGTACTTTAAATAAACTTATTTCGCTTTTGACGTAAAATCGTCGGCTGCAGTGCTCATCCAACAATCGATTTATGTTCGATACTTAATGTTATCGATTGCACCGGTGTGGGCGCTTAGTGTGACCGCAACGCTGCTGTAGAATGTATCTGTCAAGTCGGGTGTAGAATACTTTTAAGCCCTGATTCTTTCATGTAAAAATGATGTACTTATACCTTAAGAAAATAAATAACAAATCATAAACGTACAAAGAAATTAGGGAGGAAACCAGTATAAGTAATAAATAAATGCCTTATACTTAAATAGAGAAAAAGTTCCAAAAGTATGCCTAAAATAATGTAGCGTTACCCATTTCAACTTCATTTAATTCAATGTAAAATACAATATTATTAATGAGAAATCCCTACTAAAGCTGTAGGTCCTGGCACCCCTGTGAATTCACCTTGGTCATAAATGGAATTTTAAGCCGACAAAATATTTCTTATATAAAATGGACAAACGGAATATGCAAATGGAATATAAAAATGTGAAAATGTGTATCAACAATATGGGCAGGTCCACTTAAAAAACCCAACGATCTGTGTTAATGCAAAAATGGGCCTATATTCTTGGCGCTACCTTCGGACATATATTATTAAGAGTGCGCCACCGGCTATTAATCCACGCATAGCATTATAAATCGATCTCATACCAGATCGGCCACGCCCCGGGGCCGTCAAAATATGGACCGCTCCAAAAAGTTGCTCTGGAAATGTAAATATCGGGGCTCTTAATGAATTCAAAGTACGAATGAGGCGGGCACAGCATCTATTCAACAACTTACCTCTCCGATCGCACTGCCAAGTATTACACATGCGCATGCATTGTATATATTTTGGAAAACGACGCACGAGCATTCACTTAGTTGGATCTCGCCACCGGAACAACGTGGTTGTCGGCTCAAGACTCGGTTTTCATCATACTTCTCTAAAAGAAAAATATATAAAATGCTTGAGGAGGATCTGCAACTGGCCCGCCAAATGGTGGCAATTAGCTCGGTGTCCAGTTCCCTGGAGGAGGAAAACGATGGAGCGGCTGCCACATCGCCGGGCAACTCACCCAAGCCCCTGAGAAGAGTCCTGGATTTGAGTGAAAGGCGTAAACAATTCAGGTGGGTTGAAAGAAAGCTTCACAGGAAGGGAAACTAAAGTGATAAACACAGCGCGGTGTATTCTTGAGTCTTTTTATTTCAAAAGCTAGTTAAAGCTAGTTTCAACAGTGTCCGTAGTGGTTTTCCATTCCTAGTGCTATTGAACGTTTTTTGTTGCAATAATTTATAACAAACACATAAAGAGAATGCATTTACTTATATTTTTAGATATAATTAAAGTTTCTCACACATTGCCATTTCTCCACAATATATTTGTACATTGTTTGTAAGCGGTTCTAAAATTAAACAACAAAAATGTTTGCTAGAGAGGTTAAAAGCACTCAAAAACACGTACAAATTAGGTTAAAAATAAAAAGGCTGTTTTCACGTGTCTGACTAATTTGCAATGCCAAGTACACTCCTTTGTCAACATTAATTATGAATGACGAATGCTCTTCTGAATGACGAAGGTGAACACATCCGTTGCGTTTTTAAATTCCGCGCTGCCTCTCGCGATAGCCCAAAACATCGATAGTATCGATTATTTTATCGACTTATTGACAGCCCTAGCCAAAACTTTGACCAGTTTTTTTGCATCGAAAGAATTCTATAAAAATCAGTGCTGTGAGCGGCACTTAAAAGGCAATTAGAGCACGGCATTACTCCAGATAGGGCACAGATGTGACCCTAGTCTCTCCAGGAATCTGTAGCCGTAACAGTAGGATGCCAGCGCCAGAGGTCCGAAACTCCTCCGACCAAGAGGAATATTTTGGCATCGAAAAGGACGCCGCTGCAGATGGAAGTCATCTGTTGCATGCCACTGGAACGGCGGATGGAGCAACTGCGTCCACCTCGGCGCCGGGCCTGAGCGGCAACCACATGACCAGCAGCTGGTGGTGGTAAGGTCCCAATCACCTGCCCGAATTTGTAATCATGCGGTCTTACTCACAACCTCTTATCGGATTCCCATCTCAACAACACAGTGGTGGACATACAAATAGGTGTTCAACTAGCATTCAGTGTATGTTTGTACAAAGCTAACTTTACTAATAATTCAATTAGCTAACTATTTAATAACTGCCAAGATGAGAAAGTTTCAGAGCTTACAATAATGCTATGATGCTTATAGGAATAAGTAGTTGATTATAAGGTATTTCATGGCTTTGGGTCGTTAGAAGAGTTTATGTAAGCATCAATAACCAGCCATTATATCAGCTAGGTCGAAGAACTCTTATCGTAGGGCTATTGTCATAGATACCACTTAGAACCACTGCACACAATCTTTCGCTATAATAGTTTATTTTATTCAACTAAATGAAATAAATTAAAAAGCGATTTGGTCTAGGCTCGTGCCAATTTCGGCAATTGATTCGCTTTGATAGCTTCGATGTTATTAATTGAACTGATTAGATGGGATCTCGAGTCGAATCGGAAAGCAGTTGATGGCGCGGAGTAGAAAACCCAGTCCGCTTCGGCCCAACGTGGTCAACTCAGGCGCTCAGTTGTTGCTCGCACTCGCGATCGCCCGGTTGACAGTTTCAGGGCCCTCCGTCATTTCCACTATGGCAACCAATTTTCCGCCCAGTTGTGCGCAGTAATCCCCGGGGAAAATCGCTGGAAAACGCTTATCGCTTCCTTGACTTCACGTTAAAGTGAACGAAGAAAGAGGTGTTTTTTATTGGAAACACTCCAGCAGCGTAATGCATTTCTGATTACCAGTTTCGCTGATAAAACACTTTCTCTTTTACGGCTGACACATTGTTGGTCTCATATTTTGTTGGCTCATCGATGAAAAGTGCGTGGGCGTGTTATTTTTAAAAGCAACAATTTCTTGTGTTGTGAAAACAAAACTAACCTTGGTCCCTTTTCGTTGGCCAAAAGCAATGCGGTCTGACTGCATTCCATGAGCCCAAGTGTACGAGACCGCATTTGTTGGACCCAAAAAGTGGAGTCACTGTTACTCGCAGCATGGCGTTGTCTGACATTGATTTGGCCACCTTGCACGAGCATCGCTTGGAGCAGCGCTGGCACTACGGATTGCCCAATAGCCACCACATATACCATCACGGATACCAGGACGGATTCAGTGCCATGACACGGCTCTGTCTGGAGCGCAATCTGCAAAGGAAGGTGCAGCCGGACCTTAACGGAAACTGTCTGCAACGGGGACGAGCCCGAGAGAATGTCAATGCCATGGATTCGTCGTCAGGTGGGCAACGCAGACGATCCGGCACCTGGCCGTAAGTGGAGAAACAGCTGAAAGGAGAAACTAGCTATAAGAATGCATGCGAAAAGCTGGGATTCGTAATACAAATCAAAAACAGTTGCACGATGGCGCAATAGGTGCACTGGCAAAAATATGGTCCCTAGTTCGTTGTCCATGTGGGAAAAAGGATTATTGTCCATATACCACTTACCATTGCAACTTCAAGGCATACATGTCACATTTGTAGATCTATTGAAACAATAGCTTTATCAACTTGACTAAAGTGCTACTTTTCGGATAACAAGATCATTGTCAGTCAGTTTTTTCTCAGTGCATCTACGAATGCAAGCAGGAAGGGGAATTCGGAATGCGATTCCTGGGAATTGTACCCCAGCTCCCAATGTTTTTCTCTCGATTTCTGTCTGTCTCCGCAGTCGCCATTTGCATAAGGTTGATTTACAGTTGAGCGAAGTTAGTCTGCATACTGCAAAGTTGGAGATAACAAGCCAAGTATTCTGGAAAACCTGTGCAGATATTGAAAAATGTTTCCCCTGCGTCCTGATCTACCGCAGGCGGTTCCCTCCTTTCCGCTACACAGCTCCTTGAGCATCGAAGAGTTTAACAATGTGAAGTGGGAGGATGTAAACGATTGCAATAACAACTGCATTCGAGAGGAGCCAGTTTCGAGACCCCAATCCAACCGCCATGTTTTAAGGTCTTTAAGGAGCTAGGTACTTTGTTATGTCCATACTAATTGTTCTGGTTATCGCACTCTTTTCAGGCGAACTCGCAGCTTGAACGCACCGTCGCCGGTCCAGCAGTTCGGACCATGTGGACGCATCATGAAAAACTCCGCCATGGTGATGCAGATCCAGGATCCGGCCAGTCAGCGTCTCACCTGGTACAAGCCACCACTCACCGTCCTGGTGATCAAGAAGGTCAGCGATGCCTCGGTGCTGGCGCCGTTCGTCTACCTGGTGGACTGGCTGCTGCAGGAGAAGAACATGGTCGTTTGGGTGGAGTCAGCCGTGCTGGAGGATGCCCAGCTCAACGAAAATGTCCGATTCAAGGCCATTCGGGATAAGCTGGTGACGTTCAAGTGAGTCTGTGTACAAGTAGAATGTGTAAATGGGCTAATAACTTAACCATCAATCCCTCAGAGATGGCCGTGATGACCTGACCGACCGCATAGACTTTATAGTTTGCCTGGGTGGCGATGGAACACTGCTGTATGCTTCCCTGCTCTTCCAGCAATCTGTGCCTCCCGTGATGGCCTTCCACTTGGGCTCCCTGGGCTTCCTCACACCCTTCCGCTTCGACAACTTCGAGGAGCAGCTCACCAGCGTCCTGGAGGGTCACGCTGCCCTAACGCTCCGCAGTCGCTTGCGCTGTGTTATGCATCGCAGGAGCGATCGAAAACACGAGGCAAAAACTCTGGAGGCAGATCCAGATGGAGATGCGCGACCTGCAGCCAACAGCATACTGGTGCTCAACGAAGTGGTCATTGATCGAGGTCCCTCGCCCTATCTGAGCAATATTGATTTGTTTCTGGACGGAAAGTACATCACGTCGGTGCAGGGCGATGGTCTCATCGTTTCGACGCCCACGGGAAGCACGGCATATGCGGCGGCGGCCGGTGCGTCCATGATTCATCCCTCCGTGCCGGCAATTATGGTGACTCCCATCTGCCCGCATTCGCTCAGCTTCCGACCCATTGTGGTGCCAGCAGGAGTGGAGCTGAAGGTGGGTTACTTCTGTTTTGACCCATAAATCCGGGAAATCCCTTCCTAACCTCCATTGCCTTTTCAGATATCAGTATCCCCCGAGAGCCGCAACACATCGTGGGTTAGCTTCGATGGACGCAACAGGCAGGAGCTCTTCCATGGTGACAGCCTCCGTGTGACCACCTCCATTTATCCCGTGCCATGCATCTGCGCCCAGGATCAGATATCCGACTGGTTCGCCTCCCTTGCCGACGGACTGCACTGGAATGTGCGTAAGCGACAGAAGTGCCTGGACGAGCTGTCGGATCTCACGGCATCCGGATCGGAGGACACGCTGGACGAGATCGAGAACATGAAATTGTATGATGTGTAGTGCGTAAGTCCCTGTTGCTAATAGAAACGGTAGGTTAGGGCTTTTAGTGGTAGCTATAGTGCTTCGCCCTTTGCTTAGTGTGTAATTTTTGTAGTATTTTCCAAGTATCTATTGCGAAACGAATTGTTTACTATTTGTACTGTTTAAAACGCCAGTGCTCTTGCAATATTGTACATTTCAGCTAGTTAAATATAAGTGCAGGCAAACTGTAATCAAAATCTTTGGCGAGCATTGCCGAACGAATCTCAAATCTTTGAGAATGAACTTCTAAAAGTCCCACTTTTAAAAAGATAAGCAATTGAATTATATTACTTAATAAAATAATACCTGTAAATTCAGCTAGTAGCCGCCAGTGAATGGAATGTTCCGCACATTTTACCAAATTTAGCTGGAACATAATTTAAAAACATTGTCATGTTGTGCTGTAGATTAAGGCTGATTGCAAACTGATTGAAATGTGTTCTCCAGCTTTGCCTTGTATAATGCGCATTAGTGTAGTTGCAAACACACCCAGATCATCTACATCTAGACTGGTTTTAGAGCGCCTCTCCCAGGCCACTTGTTGCATGTTGTTCACCTCGCGGCTGCCTTTGGATCGGATCGAATTGATTCGGATTGGGATTGGATTCACGTGGCTGCCACGCACTTGGGCCTGTCAAAAAAAATTAGTTTGCATCGCTTTGGGTGCGAATCGAAAGTGTAGCTATCGCCGATGCTGAGGCTATATGCTTGCGCCCTCAGGCGGTATGAGCCATGTTCATTACGCGGCTAAAATCTTGTGCCATTGTTCATTGCGAGCGATCGTGTTTTAGCCGCATGTTTTCGCCTTTTTTGCCCGCCGAACTCAAGGTGTGCGCCCCGTTTTTTGCGTGTGCGTGTGCGGCAGGTGTGCGATGCGTGCCTATCTGGTCGTGTGAACTGCATAAAATCTGAGCGTAGTTGATGGCGAACGTTGCCAGCGAACGGTTGTAATTGAATAGGGAATTGTGCTTTAGTTGGGCAGTGAGCAGTCGACATTATGAATCCCCAAGATATGCAGCGGGCGCGGGAAATGGCCAATGGAGACGCCTCTACGCCTGGCAGCTCGCCAGCTCCGCTGAGGAAAGCACTACCCATCAGTTTGCTGGAAAAGCGAACTCAGTTTCGGTAAGTTGTGGCGAAAATGTCCTTGCAGTGCCATTCATTTTCCAGCTTTAACCTAAAGCAGGGGTTTAATTGATTGCATTATTTATAAAAATGAAAGATGCGTTGGGTGTGCGAACAAGAAAATCTTTAAACTTGAGAGTACTTCTATGAAGTTGGTTTTGGACGGCAACTTGTAGTTGTGAATAGTGTTTTAGAAAGTTATGTTATTATTAACGTAATGTTTTTATTTCTCTTCCTATACAAATCTTCTGTTACTTCTTACCTATTATTTTAATACATATAAGACCATGACTTAGCTAACAGTTTCTGTTTATTTTCCTAAAGTGGAATATTTTCTAAGCGCAGAAATTTAAAAACATCTGCAAATAAGCTAAAGTGTGACCATAGGGTGTAACTGGTGACGAGCATTTTTCGATATATGTAAGCATTTTCGCGCAACTGCCACACTGACGTGAATTGGTACAGGAACAAGAAAACAAATAACATGGACCCATTGAAACTCGCGCTCAGGAAACTGCAAATCAGGAGCTAGTGGCCGCCTATCCTTAAGTCGGGAAGTTGTCCATCGCAAGTGGGTGTCGTCGGCGGTGCATCGCCTTAGTGGGTCAAGCTGTGGCCAACACAACATAACGCAACGCACACATTCGCGCGCACATTGGTGCGCAGACACATATACGCACACGCACACACCCACACGGCTGCAAACAATGAAGTCCTCCACCTCCATAGTGGTTAACCCAGCTCCAACGACCACCCCCTCGGCCGCCCAAACGGTGCCCAAGGCCACTGGATGCTCAGCGCGACTCGCCGCCCTGGTCCACGACGACCTCGCCAATCAGCTGCTCCATTTGAACAGCGGGCGACAGGGACAAGGAGGCACTGCAGCATCATCGGCACCAGGTCCTGGCCTGAGTAACGGCACTGCCAGCGATGACCTCGGGATGCGTTTGTGGTGGTAAGTGGGCGCCAGTGATGCCAACACCTGAGCTCTTTTTTTGCTAGCTGTGATCGTGCTTAAAATTATGGCTTTGCATTTATTTGTCCTCCTTTAAGAACACGTAATTTGTGTATTAGAAACATCAGCTAAACAGAAAATGTTTTGAGCATTGCTGGAATACATTTTTTTCAAGCAGCTTCGACATTTTAAAAAAGAATTCCTTTTAACGATTTTTTAGAGACTACGATAATGGTTCTGAAAAACAAGACCAATATGTTATCTGGTAGTCTTTTTGCACAGCAGAGGAAATGCACCACCTACATAGACATATGTGCAGTATATAGTAAATAGTTGGCAATCAATTAGAGCTGGCCGGAAAACGCTGGGCTCTCAAGTGGCCCACACATGTTGTTTTCGTTTGTAGTTTCCAGCGAATTTGAACTACTGTTAACACGTGTGACGAATGTGTGACATGTGCCAGATGTAGGCCACTAAAATCGATTTTCATCACTTCAATACCGATATTTGCCGATATTTGCCTCACATTTAGACGAAAAGCATAGGTTCTAGAGTTTTTAAAGCCTCTGTTAACAGAGCTGTACATTTATTAATAATGATGAGTGATAATTTCGTGCTTAGATTGTTCTCATGGCGCTATAAAACGAATTACGCGCCGACTGCATTCATCAATCATACATACGTACATATGTTTGTGGAATTTGATAGCAGCAATTAAACAGCCGCCGTCCGCTGATTACATTTACATAACAGTGGGAGCACCTGTTGCTCTTAGGCTCACACACATGCATGTATTCGACTGCGACGCGTGGCTGCGCTCAGCTGATTTCTTGCCAGCGATGTCCGGGGAAAACCCGCCCAGCGATCTGGCCGTTCCATTGTTTACAATCGCTCGGCCCGCGAACTTTTATTTTCGAATCGAAATCGCACACAAGTCGTTCAATTTAATCACCTTTTCGGCGTCCCAAGCTCAGTTATCGCATATTCACCGGACAGCACGGTCGTGTTCGCTCTCTGTCCCGCCATTAAAAACTCACCTGTCGATCGTGGAACGTCGATTTGTCGATCGCTTTTCGTGTTGCGATTCAATTTGATTGGATCCGATTCGATTCGGTTCGATTGGGTCGTTTACCCACCTGCCTGTTGGTCAGTTTATAAGTTTAAAGTCGCCGTAGTGCTGGAAGCTTTGCCTTGGCTCGAGCTGGTGCTAAGGAGAAAATAAAACAGATTATATAACGTGTAATTAGAGCACTTTGCTGGCAGCCACTGCTTAACGTTTTCTATCGCAGACATGACTTGGCATTTCTGGGCTCCAAGCCCACTTTCGATTTCCTTCTACGGTCAGCTAGAAGCCAGCTGGCTAGCAATCCATCAATCTACGGGCACCAGATCTTGCAGATACAATCCAAACTTCTTGAAGGCTTTGCTAGATGGTTCTGCACGAATCTCAGCTCAAACTGAAGAACTGGAGGTCGAACTATACCAGTCGGGCTCTCAGTGTAGTTGCTTAACAGAAGCTTATCTCCTCAAATTAAATAAGTTGTTGAATGATACTACCTTGAATCGTGGACTAGATTAAAAAAATACGCTTGCATTTGAAAGAAGCTAATCTACTACAGATCATAAAGAATTTTATAACCTAGTTCCTCTGCCACATTCTTTGAGTCACTTAAACAGACATTAGAGCAGAGTTGTTGGCTAGAATAAACAAATCCACAAGGGGTTAATTATTTATTTAAAGTAACTACTCAAAGTTTGTACAAACAAATGAAAGCCTGGCAAGGTATTTACTTTATGGGCTGGGCGCTTCATAAAATATATTAAACAAATTAGTTGTAAATATTGGCATTTATTGGCGAACAATATCTATTACTAATAAATTAAACCATCAAGATTGCAGTTTACTACTGCTTAGAATAGCCATCGACTAAGCCTGGCCCATTGTAAATAGCTTGAAGTATCATTTTTGAAGAGAAAATTGCTAGTTAATTGTATAATAATCTATGAAAAGTAATTTCCCACTGTACGAGTACATTTTCACAACAAACAAAGGTGGCACGTGTACTACGAAAGTTCAGCTGTAGTACCTGGATTTGCAACTTTAGAACCTACAAATGCAAGTCGAAAGGCGTCATTTGAATTATATCATTGCAAACGCGCGCTGACATGTAGACACGTTGCGCCCAGGTGGTTCCACTGATCCGGAGGGGCAGTTCCCTTGTCCACTTGCCGATCCATTCAATGATAATCGCTGCACTTAGTGGCTGCCGCTGCGCATTTCGCTGGCTCGGTTCGTCCGTTTATTGATTAATTAATTTGTGCTCGCCGCCTATTTGTTTCGGTTTTCTTTGTGTCCATAAGTCATTTATAATTCGCTTTATGTTCCCCATCTATTGTCATAGTCCGATTACTACGGATGTAACCGGCGATTGCCTTTGTTTGTTTTACAGGAACGTTTCAATGAGTAGTGCCTACTTTTTGCTTCCTGATCTGGGTAAAAATAGAAGAGTGGGAAGGCTTTGGATCACGCGATGCTATGATTTTGGTTATGCCATAACTATATAGTCAATTAGAATTCCAAATGGGAGTGATCACTCGACTGAAACGAGCGCCAAATCCAATTATTTTCTATGTAAAGAGGTTGTGTGGTGATTAGATTGTTGTGCAGCCCAGCGCACTGCTAGGCTCCAAACGTCAAGAAGACCTCCACAGGTACTTCCCCCCTCTGCTAAGGCTGCCCATCTTATCAGGCACTCGGCAGAATCTTGGGACGACCTCTGTTTATGAACTGCTGATGGGGCACTTTTGGAAAGAAACCGAAATGATTGGGATCTTCAAGCTCATCGCAGACACGGGTCACGATTTCTAGATTAATGGCTGGCGATACTGTTATGCCCGAGTGGGTTGTTGTTTGAAACGAGCTGCAGAGAAGACTGTTTAATTGTGGTCTAAGTGGACGTATAAATTGAATCTTCTTTTTGTTGTTTTTGGCTTACTCAAAGGTTGTTGACCAAACGCAAAGCGATCACGAACAAAAAAGATTTCATTATATTTCTCGTTATAAAGCTAACTGTGCTTGTTTAGTACGTCCGAGTTATTTTTCGTGCGGCTCTGCCAGCGGATTTTTTGCCAATTGATTTATACTTGACATCGTTATGTGTCTGATGTGTCTGAGCAGGCGATAAAAGTTGGCCAAGTCCAAATCCCGCCAACCGCCCCAAAACCCCGTTGACGGAA